ATATTTGTCTTAAGATGTCGTAAAACTATTGTTAAGTAACATAAATTAAGAAAAAACTTATTGGCCAGTTCATTTTAAACTATAAACGAAAATTTCGATGCGGTAAATAGCGGATCTCATTGGTGCTTGTAAAACTGTTTGGCAAATGCGTTAACCAACAAGCTGGCCAAGAATTTCCGCTTTTTTCTCGCTTTTATTTACTGGTAGATTGTAAAAACCTTTGTACACAAATGCAAATAGAAATTGAAATTACATTTTAGTGCCGCACAGCAGCAATGACCTTCAGAGAAACAGTTTTAGAGTCAATGTTGTGCAACAAGTTTTGTTTCATTTTCTTTTCAAAGAAAAAAACCTGTGTCCGAGCGCGCATAACTTTCCCACTGACTGTGCTTGCTGCTGCTGCCGCTATTGGGGACAAGGCAATTTCCGTCTCCGTCTAGCATTTTCCACCTTTCAAAAAACTATTTTCAGGCAACAACAAATGCGGTAACAAGAAGAAGAAGCAGAAGAATGCAAAGAGTAAGAAAAACCAGCTGTTGGCCAAAAAGTGGGTCTGTGTTTGCTTTTGAAAGTTGATTTTAGCTTACGATTAAGAGAGAGAAAAAAGAGAGCGAGAGTGAGATGAAGCGAGATGTATGGATGTATGTACAATTGTACGTATTGATGTACATTTTGTATGCCTGCATAAGTAGTTGCATAATTTGTGGGTCACAATGCATAAAGATGTGAAAAAAGTCTTCCGCGTGCTTATTTATAGTGTGAATGGGGAAATAGTTCAAGTTCTTAAACAGTTTTGAATTAATTGGGTTAATTGATACTCAGGAATCCATGCCCATAGACGGACTTCCTCGTAAACTCAATTGAACCCAAACAACCCCCAATTCGCCTGAGCAACTGGACCAACTAATGCGCATTTATTGAGGACAAGTTCCCATTCTCTACCTCATGCTCACCGAGACAGATTATAGCACACCGATAACGGCTGATGGGAAGCACATTCATTTTTATTCTCTTGAACACATGCATACATCGGTGTCGTATGAAGAGTCACTTCTGATAAGCTGGCATTGAATGTACATATGTGTGTGTTTTTGTATTCCGTTTCATTACTCAGCCAGCTGAGCAGCGCGTGAAAAGCTTTTGGTGCCAGCACAGCAACAAAACAAAAATAATTATTTTAGCGATTGCCAAACAGGTTGTGGACAGCAGAAAAAGCTTTTCACACTTTTGGAAGTGAGCTAAAATACAATCATACATATTTGAAGAGTATTTTCGTCGTCGCATGACTAATGCAAAGGTCAGGCCAAAGCAGCTATACAAATGTTACGCCTGCATTTTACTCCTACTACACACTCACACCCACACACACTTGAGCACTCACACTTCCAACATACTCTCTCTTTCTTTGTCGTCTGCTTTTGTGACTCACCTTTGCCTTGAGCTCCTCCTGATTTCTTGTTGCGTCTCGGCATATTGTTGATGTTTTTGATTTGGCGTCTCTCACGAATTTTATTTGAAAACGACGACGTTTCCGTTTGATTTAGTCGGCCTGCCTGCTTAGTTTCACTCAAACACAAAGGGTACAAACTTCCCTGTAGCCGAGTGTATCCTCTGATAGAAGTCTACACGACGACACACAAAATGTCTACTCTACACACGCTTTGGCGGCAACGGAACGCACGTGTTCCTTCCGATTTATTGATTTTGTCACAAGAATTTAGGTTATAATTAAATTTAGTTGGCTTTAAGGCTGAAGATCAAGAGATGTTTTAATCAGGACGCAGCTATGCAAAAGCTTTGGTGCTTCCAATTTTTAGCAATCCTACACAATTGTCTTTGGCGGTGTTGTTGTTGCTGCTGCTGCTGCACGCGGCGTTTGGAAATGGTGAACAACACCAATTGCGGTTGAGGAATGAAGGTCGAAACTGGACGCGATCGTATTTTATTTATACAGTTGCGCGGCTGTTGGTGCTCTTCTGGCTTGGCGATATTACAAAAATGTTGTGCTCTGGTTGTCGTTGCAGCAAATTTCATGTTTAATTGCAATGAATACACTCTGCGCTGGCAGCCACTGCCCTGTTCTTTGTGCTATGGTGAAATTCCTCTGCGTTCGCTTTGGGGTTTTTCTAGGTGATATATCAGTTTGTTTTTGTTTTATCTCGCCAGCGTTGTCACGGCACTGGACTTGACGGTTGTAGCTTTCGAAAGCTCTGCGAGCACTCTTGTATTGAAAATAATGCAAATAATTTAAGCACTTGATTACGATTTTTATGAAATTAGTGTGAAATTAGGCAGTGTGACCGCGGTTTTGTTGTACATATATACTGTGTGACCCTCAGAAAGATACCGCAAAATACCTACAAATCTGTTGAATATAAAGATCAGAAGTGAGATCATAATATAAACAGATGAACAACTTGCATAAAACCATGGAAAATTATAATTTTCCTTATGTTTTTATTTAATATCCAATTATTCGAAAAGTGAGAAACATGCTGCGAAAAGTTAGCAGCATAGTTCCCCAACATTTGTCACGGAATAGGCAACATTTTTTACCCCTAGAGGGAAGGATATACTGGAGTTGAGGTAATGCTAAGGGTCGTGAAAACTAGCCAATCTTGTGGAGAATCGATTGATAAATCGGATAAAACTGTAGTTTTAGAGCTGAGAATCCTCACTAGCTAGTAATATGGGAGAGAACATCAAAATCTAGGAAAATTTAAGATTTACGGTATATTTATAGTATAGTTTTAAAATGAACGGTTATATTTCGGTACATTTCCGCGGGTCTGTCGGTATATTTGATCGATAATTCCGCGGTCACACTGAGAGAGAGTTTTGTTTAGTTTTTTTTTATGATTGCAAAAACGAATTAAACGCTAGCGCCAGAAAAGAGCGTCCAACAAGTCGATTAGTCGATGTCGATAAGAACACTTTAATTGTAAAAAGCTCAAGCCGAAGCTTATCCGGAGAGAGGAGAACGATTGAACTTCAGAACTGAACTCGAACTTTGTCACCAAGTGGGTCGGGTCTTTCGGTCGTCTTCTTTGATACGTTTACGAATGGAATGAAAGAGGAGGAATCAATAGCAGAAGACAACACAATAAAACAGATACACTGCCTAACAGGAATTACAACACCGAGATTGCACAAATAATTAGGTAATTTGTAAGCGGCGGCGTCGACATTCTCCATCGAATTCGAACAGCGGAACGGATTGATGGATGATTAATGGGAATTGAACTTGGACCGCATTCTATCTAATCTCCGGTGCATCTATTATTCATGATTTCGAAACTCTCCTCCTTCCTTTGTAGCTGCCCTCAAAGATGGCCGCCATTGGGGAACGTTTCCAAGCTGCCGTCAATGTCATCAAGGGATTACCCAAGAATGGTCCATACCAGCCAAGCACCAGCATGATGCTGAAGTTCTATGGTCTGTTCAAGCAGGCCACCGAGGGTGCCTGTGACCACAAGAAGCCTGGCTTCTGGGATGTGGTGGGCAAGGCCAAGTGGGACGCCTGGAATGACAATCGACATCTGAGCAAGGAGCAGGCCATGCAGCGTTATGTTGAGAGTCTGCAGGAGATCATCGAGACGATGTCATTCACAGAGAATGTGCAAAACTTTGTGGGCAGCCTCGATGGCCTGGGAAACATCAATTTGGACGAACTGGAATTGGTTTCACCCGGCATGAGGGAGCTCGCCGAATCGCATCCCAACTCTCCGTTCCATTCGCGCACAAACAGTCCACAGCATGGCAGCAGCTGTAACGGAGCAGCTGAACCAGAGCTGGGACCACCATTAGCCTCATCGGAGCTGGGCAGCAGCGTGGTTGCCAATGGACTGAGCAATGGCTACACAAGCAAAACGGCGCAAAACTACAGCCACAGCGACAGCCACAACTATACGAACAACAGCAGCGTGAACATTGTGGAGCCGTCCGACGATGAATATGACGATCCATATGATCTATCCCACGAGGTCACCCAGGCCATTGTACAGAACACAGATCTGCTGCGACAAATCCAAAGCACAATTACGCGTATGAACAACGATGTGGGCGCCGTGCAGCAGCGTATGCGCAGCGTGGAACAGGCATTGACGGAGCTAAGCAATGGCCAAAAGTCGAGAGCAGCCCAACGGCAACAGCCCGCCTGGTGGCCTTTCAAGAATATTTCCCCACTCTGGTTTGCTGTGCTCATCCTGTGGCCCTTCCTTGTGCGACGATTTGGTCGACTGTTGCAGACATCAACAGGCCGCAGACGCTGACGCAGAAGGATGTTTAGACTAGAACGTATGGCATGTGGTAGTTAAATTGTGAGTAAACCTTAGAATTTGTGTACACAAAGTGCATACAACATTTCCGTCTATAATTAAGATGCTCCGCGGCGACCTCCACTCGGGGCTAAGCGAAACCAGTTTTTGGTAGCGCAGCGAAAGCTTTTAACATTTGCATTATAAGCTATATTTGCATTTGATTAACTAATTCAAGGAAGGAAATGCTTACAAAATTCACAGACGGGAGTCTCCTTTACTTACATTTCGAACTTAATTTGCGTTCACAAAATTCCTGCACATTGCTCGTGATATAGTCAATTTATTTGCACTTATTATCCTTTATAATAATCCGAATTTTCATTGTTTCCCTTTCAGTTACTGTTTTGGTTACGGGCACAAGCTTGGTCTTTGGCTTTCTTCTATTCTCGAACCTGATGGCTCCATCTATTGTACAGAGTTGGCCTTATTTATAGTTTTACAACCACTGTGGTTGCTTATCCCAGTTGCAATATTTTATACTTTTTTTTTATACGTGTATATTTATGTTTGCGACCTTTGTTTGGAACACATTCCCATCTAATTTAGTTTTTTAAGACGAACTTTTGGCCTCGACCTCGCACCTGGCGTGAAAGGTTGTAAGCGAGCGAACAATTTATTGTGCATTATTTTTATTATAATTTTTGTATTAAAGTGAATGTTTTAGAACAATTTCTACGTTCGTTTTGGAATGTTTTGCTTTGCTCTTAGGGCTGTGGCGTGGTGCGTAGATAGCCCTTTCCGGATGGCACCTCAATGGTCTCAATGCCCTTGGGGAAGAGCTGCGGCACATCCTCCGCCTTAACGGTGGGCAGCACCATGCACTTGCCGCCCTGCTGCCAGTCGGCTGGCGTGGCCACACTCTTGGTTTGGGTCAACTGCAGCGAATCAATAACGCGTAGGATTTCACTGGAGTTCGAACAAATAGGAAATTAGTTTGGCACCTTATGTGGGTCTATCTGCCGCCACTTACTCAAAATTACGTCCCGTGGTGGCTGGGTACAAAATGGAAAGACGCAATTTCTTTTTTTCATCAACAATAAATACAGCGCGACAGGTCAGTGGAATGCCCTCCGCATTCAGCTCATCCTTGTCCAGCATTGAGAGCTGTTGCGCCAGCACGCGCTTGTCATCAGCAATAATGGGATAGTCAAAAGTTGTCAATTCTAAAAGAGAAAAAAAACCCAAATGAAACGTGGGCTGCATGAAAACGTGAGGCAAAAATCGAAACTTACTGCCAAAACTCTTGATGTCTTCAATCCAGCGCTTGTGAGACTCCACGCTGTCACAGGACAGGGCAATGGGCTTCACACCGCGTTTTAGGAACTCTGGAATCAGTGCAGCCACTCGGGCCAGCTCTGTCGTGCAAACCGGCGTAAAGTCGGCTGGATGCGAGAACAGAATGGCCCAAGAATCTTGCATCCAATCGTAAAAGTCTATTTTTCCCACACTTGTCTCGGCCTCGAAGTTGGGAAACTGGTCACCAATATTCAGAGGGCTGCACGGCATTTTTGCTGATCAGAATTGATGAAACAAAGTAAAAACAAACAAAATTGCCGCAAAATTGTTGTCAGCTGCCTGGACCAGTGTGACCGTAGCGTTACCAAACTGAACGATGCAGCCCTGGACTAGTCATAAACACGCACATGCAAGTGCAGTAAAATATTTGATACAAAATTAATTAAATCTACTGTTAAAACAAAGTTTAAAGCATGGAAGATCTCTGCATAAGTGGCCACCAAGTGCAGGTGCAGCCTGTTGCTCCAGCAGAACCCTTTCGCATCACCACCAATGCTCCACACCAAATGAACGATCCCAGCATGACAGCGGGACGCAAAACACTGCAAAAATGGTTGGGCCGTGTGCTGCGCATCGTTATAACCGATGGTCGTGTCCTGGTTGGCTTCTTCAATTGCACGGATCGTGATGCCAACATTGTGCTGTCCATGTGCGCCGAGTATCTGGTGGAGGGACAGGAGCCCCGTCTACTGGGCAACGTTATGGTGCCGGGCAAGCACATTGTGTCCATCAGTATTGATGAAGGCGAGCCCACAGCAACGAATGTGGAAGTGGCGTAGTCAAAAGAAAAGAAACCTCATCTAATGTTAATAAAAAATTTAAATATAAACCAAAAAATAAGCTTATTGTTTTAAAGGTTTTAAATATAACAATTCTATCAGCTGTTTCGCCGCGCTGCCAACCATCTCGCAGCCCTCGCAGTCAGCTGCTCGTGCGCTTGAAATTGTTGTTATTCAGAACAGAACAGAAATTCTGCCCGAGCCACAGAGAAGCGCAGCCAGCAGCCAATTAATTAATTCAAACGAAACGCGGAATAGAAAACTCATCTCATTCAATTGAGAGCAATCAGGCAATGGATTTCACGACCTTCGTAAAGCCCACCAACGGGGGATCAGGCGACGCCGATACGGGCACCAACGAGCTGCAATTCTGGAAGCATGTGAAGTACATTGAGAATCATGGGAAGCAGGAGGATGACTACGAGTACTGCATGACCGAATTTCTGCGCATGTCGGGCATCTACTGGGGCGTCACGGCACTGGACATAATGGGCCAGCTGGATCGTCTGGAGAGGAAGCATATTATCGACTTTGTCAAGCGTTGTCAGTGTGCCACGACGGGTGGATTTGCACCCTGCGAGGGCCACGATCCCCACATGCTGTACACGCTGTCCGCGGTGCAAGTACTCTGCACCTACGATGCCCTCAATGAGATCGATTGCGAGGCAGTTGTTCGATTCATTGTGGGACTGCAGCAGCCGGACGGCAGCTTCTTTGGCGACAAATGGGGCGAGGTGGACACCAGATTCAGTTTCTGTGCCGTGGCCACACTGACGCTGCTCAAGCGCATGGACCAGACCATTGACATCGAGAAGGCGGTCAAGTTTGTCATGTCCTGCTGCAATCAAACGGATGGTGGGTTCGGGTCCAAGCCCGGCGCCGAGTCCCATGCGGGTGAGTCATGAAGGCAAAATCATATTTGTCGCGTTCTCATTGTGTCTCTCTCTATCTCTGTGCAGGTCTCATATATTGTTGCGTTGGTTTCCTTTCGCTCACCCACCGTCTGCACTTGCTGGACGTGGACAAGCTGGGTTGGTGGCTCTGTGAGCGTCAGCTGAGCTCGGGCGGACTCAACGGGCGACCCGAGAAGCTGCCAGACGTTTGCTACTCCTGGTGGGTACTCTCCTCGCTGACCATTATGGGCCGCCTGCACTGGATCAGCTCCGAGAAGCTGCAGCAGTTTATTCTGTCATGCCAGGATGCAGAGACAGGCGGCTTCTCCGATCGTACGGGCAACATGCCCGACATATTCCACACGCTTTTCGGTATTGGCGGTCTTTCCCTGCTGGGACATTCCGGCCTCAAGGCCATCAATCCAACGCTCTGTATGCCCCAGTACATTGTCGATAGGCTGGACATTGAGCCCCAGCGATTGTCACGACCGTGAAACGATCCCCGAACCCCGAGCGGAGCCACCTTAACTGTTGTAGCCAATTCCCATTTAATTTCCGAAAAAACAGACCAAATTTCCTCCAAGAAATCGCTTAAACATGATTAACTTTTCTTCTGCTTTTCTGCTTTATTTGCATTTACCCTTACAGACGGTATTTATCCCCTCGTTAGTCTATAATTGATGTATTTTCTATGTTTAATTTCGAAGCAAAGTTAAATAAAGACATTACCTATTACAGCAGGCCAGATGAGTGTTTAATTGTTATTTCATCAATCTTTCGATGAGGTTTTAACACATTTTAACATAAATTAATAAAAAAAATAGGGTATACAAAAGTACATACCATCGGTTGACAAGCAACAAGTAGTCAAATACGTGAACTTCTCTTCCCACTTACTTACATTCTGAATTTGTTTTCTATCTGCCAGTTTTGTAAACAATGCAATATTGTTGAGCATTGTTTCATAAATCGGACAAAATTATATTTTTAGTACTGATAGTCTTTATTAGCTAGTAATATCAAGTGGAACATCAAAATTGAGGAATATGATTTAAGACAACTGTATATTTTTTAAATGAGAAGGTATATTTTGGTATATTTTTTCGCTAGTTCCGCTGTAAACTAGGCCTGGGAAAACATCGATAGTGTCCACCAGCCACCAGGCTACTCTTGCCTTGTAATTACACATACACTTACACATCAATCCATGAAATGACATCGCAATACATTATATAATATTTTAAAGTCTTACACACTACCACACTTTTTAACTTAGCATCATATTGTTCAACTATAAGAACATTGCCCGCCCTCATCAACAATCATCGATAGCAGCACACACAAACAAATATCGACAGCAACACACAGAACAAACTATCGACAGCCCCACTATCAAAAAATGTAAATAAATATAAATATTAAACGCGCGCGTGTCAGAGTCGGTTTTGTCGGTCAAACAGGTCCCTCGCAAAACGCGCTTAACAGATAACGCATATATGTACTAGCATTAGTGCGTACTACTCGTCGGCGATCGCAAAGAAAAGTTTTAAGTAATGTGTTAGTATTTCGCGCGACAAAACAATTTCGTTTCGTTTCAAGTATTTACATAATAAAGTACAAAGTAAAGTAAATAACAAATAGTACAACATGACGAGCACCGATGTGCGCAAAAGAAAAGTAAGGCCAAAGGTTAAAGGGGTAAAATATAATTAAATTTGTTTCAATGCTTCCCCACCTACAAGTACACTGATGAAAAGAACCACTAGAGCGAGAACGAGATTCCTAAGGAAATGTGTTGCTCTTTTGTGACGGAAGTTAAACGATTCCCCTCCCTGCCCACCGTCGCACCCAGAGTTAAATAATTGTTTCAATCAGTTGTGTTTAAAGGGGTGCCAATTTTTTATTTAAAATCCTTATTTACATACTATTGCGATAGATTCAATGCCGGCAAAGAGAGACAGAAATACATGTATGTGTATGTATGTGTGTAGATATAGTGTGTTAGAGTAGAAAGCGACATGGAAACAGTGTTAGAGGAGGCTGCCAAACTGGTTTAAAGGGTGTACAATACTCTATGCAAATTAACTTATGAAATAAAAGGCACAAATATAAATAGATAAAGAGCTAAAACTAGTCACTAATGTTAATTAGTCTTACATACAGATAATGATTTGTAATATCTTAATTACCTGGCCTTTGGGCTTAGGCCGGCCGGTTTTGTTGGTTGCCCAAATGTATTTCTCATTTGCAAGGTCATCTAATTGCTAGAACCAAAAAAACCACACATCAATTGTGTTGGCACTCGATCGACGATAATGCCACCACAACCTGGCTAGACTAGACAACTTTTTCAATTGCTTTCCCCCGAACTCATTGTGTGGGATACATACGAGAGTCAATTGGTTTGGGGGATCAGCAGTGCAATTAGCGTGTGGGCGGCGTGGTGAATGAAGCAGCTGCAACGGGACCTGAACAGGTTGCCAGTAAGTGGAGGGGGAACGGAACCCTCGTGCGTTTCGTGCACTGCACAGTGGGTAGATCGAGGTGAATCTTCCTTTCGTGCGTGAATCAGAAAACAAAACAAATGAATCCTATTAAGTTTAGATCAGTCTAAAAAGCTAATTTCGATTGTGGGAAATTTCATTCGTAAACCATCTGAAATGTTTGTGCGTGCAATCTGGCAGTTCCAATTTAATGATTAGGTGAGTCCGTGACAAAGAGAACTTTGATTGTATGTCCAATACTTGCATATGTACATATATGCATATCTGGGAACGCTGAGTCACTATTAATCGAGACAAGAAAGCCCTGCACGTCCCTAGTTATCAGTTGAAATATTGATTACAGAAGCGCTCCACCCGCAGACAGATGTGATAAGTTCTCACTGTGAATATTTAATGGCTCTTAGTCTGCATATGTACGCGTAATTGCTACGAAATTAAATGAATTTCTAGTGCTTGTCGTCAGCCAACCATTTTGTGCTTGATAAATACTCACAAAAGTCGCTACAAAGTCTTAGTTACGCCTAATGTTGACTTTATTTCATAGTATTGGCAGGCGGAGTGGTGGGCTGGCTTTGTCGTCACACACTTGCCGAAACATTTGTTTAAATAATGGTAATTTCATCAGTTCTGTTTGCGTTGCCCCAGACAACCGTTTTGTATTTAATCAGCCTAATAGATCTGACTGCTGCCCCATTTTAGTTCGTGCCTAGGTATAGTATCTAATCGTGGTCATATCGCTTGAAGGTTGTATGATAAGATGCCCTCTGTACGCTGTACATTGAATATTTTGTAATTTGCCATGACTTTGAACTTTAGCCTGGTTGTGGCGGGAGCACAATTTGCGCACCATTGAAAGGTTGATGTGGATGATTGCAATATAATTGATTCTGTGTGCTGCACAGAGACATGCATTCTTCAATGAACATTTTATAATTTATTTGCATAAATACATACCAAGGGGCAGGAGTATATTACCTATAGACGTTAAAAATCAGTTTGCTTTGAATTACTAGTTTCTCGATGAACCTGTCAGTCAGCTGTTGTCAGTCAGTTATCGATTGCGCAATCTGTGCGGCTGTGCAGCCCTGGC